AAGTGAGTCTGTTGTAGGCAGCATATAGATGAGTCTTATGCTTTTATCCATTCAGCCACTCTATGTCTTTTGATTGGAGAATTTAGTTCATTTTCATTAAAGTAATTATTGATATCTATGTACTTATGGCCATTTTGTTAAAAGCTTTCTTCCTTTGAGATTTGATGACTTTCTTCAGTGATCTCCTTATCTCTTGTGTTCCTACTATAGGTTTTTGCTCTGTGGTTACCATGAGGCTTACATAGCTATAACAACTTATAGCTATCACATTCCTAATCACATTCTAGAGCTCTACAGTTTTACTTCCCCACCATTTTTTATATCATCTTACATTTTTTTTATCTTGTGTCTTCTTTAATTATTACTGTTACAGTCCTTTATCAGATGGGTCTTTTGCAAATATGTTTTCCCAGATTGTGGCCTGTCTTCTAATTCTCTTGATATTGTCTTTTGCAGAGCAGAAGATTTTAATTTTAATGAAGTCCAGCATATCAATTACTTGTTTCATGTACATGCCTTTGGTGTAGTATCTAAAAAGTTATCACCATACCCAGGGTCATCTAGGTTTTCTCCTATATTATTTTCTAGGGGTCTTATAGTTTTGCATTTTGCATTTAGGTTTGTAATTCATTGAGAGTTAAGTTTTGTAAAAGTAATTTTGGTATTTCTAAGGTATGATATAGGTTTCTAGGATTGGAGTCCTAGTTTACAACATCATGGCTATAGGAACTAAGGGTTTGATTTATATGTGCTTGCTTTTTAACCATCCAGGAATCAGGTCATATGTTGGAGATTATCTGCTCAAGTGGTTCCCAAACATCTCTCTTTAAATTGGTTTCACTAGAATGAGATGGTTGGATAGTTAGGTTTGTTGTTTAAAAATTAATTCTCAGGAGCAAATAGTCAAACCAAGGGTATTATGGCACATGGACATGATTGATCATTATATGCTATTACTGTGCAGTATTTAAGGTTTTAAGTATTTAAGTTTATTTAAGGGCTCAAAGAGGGATTCAAAAATTTAACAGAATTGAAAGGAGATGGCACTCAGACTACTTTTGTCATTGTTTCAAGAATTGACCTAAACAATACACCAATGCTAACATTTGAGCATGGTGCTACCCTTCTGGTGGATGGAAGCTTTGGAAAGATTCTTTCTCCTCTGGCAAGTATCACTTTATGTTAACTGTACTATGACCAAGCTTGAGATTTTAGATTCATTCTGAAAGTGTTTCATAACTATTTTTGTATTTTACAATGACATATGATAGTAACCCTTGAAATATTCAAAAAACATTGTATTTGTATTTTTCAAAACTGCATAATAAATATTACTTAAGTCATAAGCATCAATAGAATCGGCTACAATATTCCTGTTGCTCAATGCCTACAGGCCACATTGACAAAACTGGTTGGAAAAAAAACTTAGAAAAAAGTAACAATTGGGAATGGAGAATGGGAGGGGCTGGGAAAGGGACCAATGATACAGATTATGTCATTTTCATTGAAAAACACTAAATACACTCTCACAGCTTTCCTTATCCAACAGACTCAGCTTCAACCTTCTCCTTGTTTTTACCTAGTTTATAAGTATCGCTTTATTATTTTTTTTTAAGATTTTATTTATTTATTTGAGAGAGAGAGAATAAGAGACAGAGAGCATGAGAGGGAGGAGGGTCAGAGGGAGAAGCAGACTCCCTGCCGAGCAGGGAGCCCGATGCGGGACCGGATCCCGGGACTCGATCCTGGGACTCGATCCCGGGACTCCAGGATCATGACCTGAGCCGAAGGCAGTCGCTTAACCAACTGAGCCACCCAGGCGCCCCTAAGTATCGCTTTATTAACAACCAAAACAAACACTTAGAAAGAAATGGTGAATTACCTTCTCCTTATGTCATAAATTCATGTCCAATGCAGCATTTTGTGTACACATTATAAATTTTGCCTTACAAGTTGTGAGAGGCAGAAGGGACACAGCTTGAATTTTCAGTTTTCAGGTTGAGTTTGCAGCAGGAGAAACCTGCAAATCACCATGGAAAAATTAAATTGAAAATTAAATAATTAAACCTATCCACAGCTATCCTGAGGAAAATCCATGAAGATTTGTGTTTGGGTCACACACCTCCTGCCCCTCAACATATCCTACTCATGCTATAGCAAAACATGCCCAATCCCTTTGATACCAGTTGGCATCACTTCCTCATGCGCAGCTCATCACCCCTGCCAGCACCAATTTTGTTAAGACTGTGTTTCTTTCTTCCACTCTCTGTTAAAACTACACACATTTTAACAATGGCTTTGGGCATTGCAATTCACTCTGGAATAATGACTTTTACCCTAATACTTTCATTTTTCTCAGGAGGAGAAAAAGCAGTCCCAAGACAAGTTGGTAGTAGAGGAAATGGCAACAAAGAGTCATCTTTGGCAAGCCTCAGTCATACTGAGTGGCCATCATTTTCACTTTTAGAGAGCAAAAAGTAAGTAGAATATGGACTAAACTTCCCAAGCAATTTTATCAATGTTCTATTAAGGAAAAAACAGTCCTGGACCTGACTGATCCTTATTGTTGATATACACAGCCCTGTGTCACCAAATAATTACAAACTTTTTGCCTTCGTTTTTCCCATGCCAGCCTAGGAAGTTTGGTGATAAATTGCTTATTTTTATTTGATAGACAAATACATGACTTAGTAATAAGAGGCAACAGCCTAAAAAGAGTAGTCAAGAGGAGTTCTATGTCCTCTTGTCTCTCAGAGCTAAGCAGTGGCAAATCATCAAATTTCTCTGACTCTCAGAGTCCTCTTCTGTAAAATGAGAATTTTAAATATCTCACATTATCATTTTAAGAATCAAATAAAAAAATGAACATGAAAGGGCTTTGCAAAACAGAAAGTTCTACTCATTTATCATCAGTTATCCTGTTTCTACCCAGAAAGGGAGTTAAATTTGCATTAATTCACCTATTCTCTCTCAACCAGCTCCTCCTCCTTAAGAACAACTTCTTCATTTCCAAAAAGATGACTTGAGTTAGGGTGCAGCTATAATAAAGCTACTTTTCCCGAAAGGAACTGGATGTATAGCTTTGGCCTAGTGAGACCACTCGGGAACAAGTGGTCTGACTCTCATCACATTTATAGTTTTAAGGGGAAGCAGTTGAACTCTATGAACACTGGGTGGTTCACTTATTAGTTTATATCTTGGTTATACTTGTGAGATGGTATTAGATCATTAGGATCTAATAGATGGATGAACTCAGTTTTGTCAGGGGCTAACAGGTGTTTCACAGCTGGGAGCTTCCAGAGAGCTTAGGTGCAAAAATGAACCATGTTTTCTAAAATTAGCTCTGGTTATTCTAACATTCAAACACATTAGTCCATAGAGAAATTTTTCAAAGAATATACAGGGCACTCACTCTGCAAATATAGGACTGAACACACCATTGGAATATTCAAGAGGAAGTACTGAAAGTACAGTCATAGTATATGGAATTCCATCCCTATAGTTGAAATTGCATCTCTGCACACTTACAACTGCATCTGTAGTTTACTATTTTGCATAGGCTAACAATAATTATGTCTATAGAGATTAATTACCCCAATTAAGGTGAAGGAAGATGAAACAATGCTGTGTTTATTTTTAAATATTTTTGTCTGGCACCAGCTGGATTCAGTCAAACTATGAGCTTAATTCTCTGCTCCAATGGTAAGAAGTGACATGAACTATCAAAGATAACCTTTTACAGCTCAATATACATTTAAAGGCTTTTCAAATTGCTCTTCCAAAAGGGTCCATCCTCTTGTACTTACTAACATGATCGGTTCTCCCTTGAAGAACTCTGCTTGCCCATTGCTCCAGCATTAGTACTACTTTTTAAACTTGCCTTATGAAACCTGGGATAAGATAACTGATTTCCACCAAATTTTACAGGGTTTAGTTTATGTAAATGGCTTTTTTCAGGCTTAGAGGTCTGTGATGAAGTTCTGTATTGGTTAGGATATGGACCACTTTGAACTGTCTCTGCAACTACAACGGATGTTCTCTTAGGCAAGAACTTAACTTTTGTGCTTCTGAGATCACACAAGCCGAGAAACCCCTTTTCAGCATAATGCTGAATCCTTATTAGGTTCTCATTAATCATTGAGTGCCTGATGTTTCCTGGGGGTCATTTTACAAGTTTTTGGCCCTGAAGCCTCTCAGAGTTATCCCAAAGTTAACTAAACGTAACTCTCCATTCATGAGAAAGAGGCTACCGCTCCGCGAGGAAAAAAAAAAAAAGATATTGGAAGGCCAGTCTCAGCACAATACATGTAGTTTTTCTCTCCTCCTCTCTCCTCGTAAACTGTTTACTCACATTTCCCTGAAAAGTCTTTTTAAAATAACTTCTCTGAGAGAGATAAGCTTCATCCGTACCCAGTTAGCGGCTACTTTTAAGTAATAAAAAAGGTGCGTCGGCAGAACTCTCTCCCGCCTGTTTACTAAAACCACCAATCATTCCCACCACTCGCTTCAAGTGAAGTTCCGCCCCTTCTGGGGAGCCCTGCCCACACCTAATATCTACTTAGACCCCCGCCTCCTCCTTAGAGCTTCCAGCCAATCCTGTACTCCTAATGTCGTGGGGCAGTGCTATCGCGAGATTCCAACTGTATCCTCCGACAGACTTTAACCGTGTGGACTTGCGCAGAAGAGACTTATGAAGCCATTGCCGGGAAAAGGGGGCGGGGCGCTCCGACGTGCGCGTTCACCTTGACCCCACGCTCCAGCGCGCACCCGGGAGCTGGGAGCTGTGGTTTCTGGGCCCCCCGGGAACCCCAACACAAACCAGCATAAAGCGCGCGTGCCCATATCAGGCGGGTGTTCGGTGGGTGGCGGATGCGTGCCCGGGACCTGCGGGGGCTTTAGAAGAGCCCAGGACCTTGGTGCAGAGAGGCTCAAGAGACTTGGAGTACCAGCCTAGGTAGGCGCTTGGGTGAGGGAGGGTCAGGGGTCAGAGGTCACGGACCGAAGACGTCTCCACACGGAGATGGAGGTCCCAAGGAGGGAAGACTCGGTTGTTCTGGAGCCCAGGAAGCTAAAGGGCTGAGAGGGAGACGCAGAGCGAGTTTCCCCGACCCTTTCCCATCCCAGACTTGGGGGCCTCTGGACCGCCACGGCTCCCCCGGGAGAAGAAAGGGCCGTGGGAAAGTAGTCTGTGCTTCTCTCCCGGGAGCTGGGGCCTGTGGCGATTAGATCGAGCGTCCGAGGGACTGTCGTCGCGCTCCTCGGCCTCGCGGGTAGCTTGTTTGCCCGGCCTGCTGGGAGCGATCTGGCGCTGACAGCCCAGCTCTGACTCCGTGAACCGCTTTTGAGTTTCGGAAGAAAACCGAGTGGGTATCACCGTTCGTCACACACACGCCCCCGGAGGCTGGATCTGGGCAGCTGCCTAGCTTCTTGGTGCGCGGGGTTGTAATGTGGTAAAGTGGAGACGAGGCTTCCAAGTTAGTCTGAAAGTTCTCAGTTACCTTTGGAGTGAGATTGGTTACGTTCGTTCTCAAAACCATCCTTGTAGGTTGTACATTTTGACTCCGTGGTCGTTTACTCGGTTTATGAACAAAGACGTGTTACTTGATGATTGACTGTCTCTTTCAGATACAGTACTATTAATTAATGGCCATTAAGCTCGTGCCTTTTTTCTAAGTGACTTTACATGACCCAGGAGGTAGAAATACTAGATGTTTGATGTTTTCCTACTTGTATTTAAATTACCTTAACGCTTTAACTGAACAAAATAAAATATTTTTAAAGTCATCACAGCTATTTAAAATTATTTTCTTGGGTGGTAGCAAGACTTGAAATTCCCATGAATAGAAATGATCCATAGTATCTGTACTGTCACCAGAAAGGCTCATTGGTTTATGATCAGAAACCATGCTAGAAACTGAGTATTACTGAGCATCAGTGAGAGAAGTGTGCCTGTATTGGATAACCTTTCCTTCCTAGAGCTTCCCAGGTCGAGTTAGCCAATAAGCTAGCAGTTGAGAATAAAATAGTCTACTTTTGAAAGATGCTACTGTTTTATTTGCCCAAGCCTAAGAACTGCACTTGCAGAATTATTAAAACAAAACTTTTATTAAGAGTTGAGGCTTCAAAGATTTGGGGAAACAATGTGCTGGCTTTTTTTTTTACTTCTTTTGAGGGCATTTTTAAAGTTTATATAACATATTTTGGGGTTCAATAAAAGAAAACACGCTCATCTTGCGAAGTTATTACTACAGAAAGATTGTGGTAATGCTAGATCATTAGGAGGTTTTCACTAATCCGTAATGATTGGGCTTTGCTTGCATAAGGCTCACCTTGGGCAGCAGTATGGCAGGTGTATACTTCTTACTGTTCCTAAATTCAAAATCCAGGCCTACCATGGATTTGTTGTAAGTCAGGATTTGTGTGTGTCTTTTTTATGAAGAGATAATAATTTGGAGGGGAAAAAATCTGAATCTAAGTTTAATTGGTAATCATTTGTTATATTGTCTTAGTAACTTAACATTTTATGTTATTTTTCTAACAACCTGTCTTTGTTTTCTGTTGAAGATATGGGTCAGTCAGTTTTCTCTGTCTCATTCAGGGCCAGAAATAGTAAAGATTAGTTTTACATTACATGTAATCTTCTCAAATGTGGTTAAGAGACTCTTGTCTAAAAAGAAACATGGTACTTAAAAAGAGGCAGGGTATTAGGTATTTGGGGAGTTAGAGATATTTGTTTCACCTTATTTTGTATGTCATTTCCATCTTGGCACTGACCTGGCATTGGGGGTGCAATGGTGAATAGGATAGTGTTCCTGCCCAGCTTTCATGGCCTTCAAAGTCATACAGTTGGAATGAAGGAGGAATGGCCCTTAACTCAGAATGCCTGGTCATGGAAGGTTTCCTGGGGAAGGTTGGGACAGCACCAGGCAGAAAAGTGTGAAAGGGCATTTCAAGCAAAAGGCTTTTTACATTTAAATGTAGGAAGGACAATTAAAATGTGGTCCATGTTTTAAAACTGCAAATAGTCATGTTTCACTGAACTCTGATGGTATTCCTAATAAGAAGTAGAATGACCAAAAGTAGGACTCATGTGGTATGAAGAAAACCAGGAGAAGGGTTTGGAATATGATTAGAAATAGATAGAATTTTGCTAGTACTTGACTTATTAGTTGCCAATTAACATTATAGTTATAAGTAGTTTTGATTAAGTAATCTCTTCTTCGTTCAAGAAGTTATCCCTGGATAGAAATCGCTTAAGAAAAGAGTCAGTCAGAGTAAGATTTGTGTGTGTGTGTGTTTAATTTTTTTATTAACATATAATGTATTATTTGTTTAAGGGGTACAGGTCTGTGATTCATCAGTCTTACACAATTCACAGCGCTCACCATAGTACATACCCTCCCCGATGTCCATCACCCAGCCACCCCATCCCTCCCACCTTCTTCCCCTCCAGCAACCCTCAGTTTGTTTCCTGAGGTTAAGAGTCTCTTATGGGGGGTGCCTGGGTGGCTCAGTTGGTTGAGCGACTGCCTTCGGCTCAGGTCATGGTCCTGGAGTCCCGGGATCGAGTCCCGCATCGGGCTCCCTGCTCGGCAGGGAGGCTGCTTCTCCCTCTGGCCCTCCCCCTCTCATGTTCTCTCTCTCTCTCATTCTCGCTTTCAAATGAATGGATAAAATCTTTAAAAAAAAAAAAGAGTCTCATGGTTTGTCTCCCTCTCTGGTTTCGTCTTGTTTCATTTTTTCCCTTCCTTCCGAGATTTTTTTTTTTTTAATCATGGATGTATGTTCAGTTCTGGTTTAATTGGCTGGGGTAGTACCTGGGCATCAGGATTTTTTTAAGTTCCCACAGATGATTTTTTTTTTTTTAAGATTTTATTTATTTATTTGAGAGAGAGAGTGAGAGAGACAGAGAGCACGAGAGGGAAGAGGGTCAGAAGGAGAAGCAGACCCCCCGCTGAGCAGGGAGCCCGATGTGGGACTCGATCCCAGGACTCCAGGACTCCAGGATCGTGACCTGAGCCGAAGGCAGTCGCTTAACCAACTGAGCCACCCAGGCACCCTCCCCCAGATGATTCTAATGTGCAGTCAAGTTTGAGACACACAGATATATGGTCCTCCATCCTGCCACATTAAAGTTTGGTTATTATAATATATAATGTATAATTGCGAGGATGATGGTGATAGCAGCTACCACTCACTGAATATATGCTAAATTTCTGTTAACTGTACTATTGCACGTAGATTATTTCTAATCCCCATTTTGAAATGAGAAAACTAGCACAGAGAGGTTAACTATTCCTGTGCCACACAGTTAGTAAATGCCAAAGCTAGAATTAGAATCTTTTCTCCTGTAAGCCACATTGCTTTGCAGATGTGAGACTCTATAGCCAGTTGCTTTGGGGGCTTTTAGAGTTCACAATTCCATAATTACCATGTTATTCATATTAATTTAATATTATGGTTGATGTAATAACACCAACCATAATGTGACCCCTACCTCATGTCTTTTTTTTTTTTTTTTAAGATTTTATTTATTTTTTGACAGAGAGAGAGAGAGAAAGCGAGAGAGGGAACACAAGCAGGGGGAGTGGGAGAGGAGAAGCAGGCTTCCCACTGAGCAGGGATCCTGATGTGGGGCTGGATCCCAGGACCCTGGGATCATGACCTGAGCCGAAGGCAGACGCTTAACAACTGAGCCACCCAGGCACCCCTGCCATAAGCAGTTCTACCCAGTAGAGAAGTATGGTACATTTCCCTACCTCTTCACTTTGGGTCCGTTTATGTGACTTGCTTTAGCTCGTGGAACATTGTGCTTTTGCTATGACCACACTTTGAAAAGTACTTGTGTGATTGGATTTACACTGTTACCCCGCAGCCATGGTGATAAGTAGATAAGTACGTGTGTGGGTTGCTTTGCTGGTCCTAGGAGGATGAAAACTACATTAAGCAGAGCTGAACTGCTCCAGAAACGTAGGCTAGGTCAGCCAACCCTCAGCTAATCTGCAGATCTGAGAGAATAAATGATTGTTATCTCAAAACTTTGAGTTTTGGAGTGGCATGTTACACAGCATATTTGTTGCCATAGTTAACTAATAAGCTGATATAGCTGAACTTTACAGAGTTCTAGCAGAATGATCAAATTCCAGTATTCTAGCCTATATTCTGATGAGAATTGGGCAAAGATAAACACATAGGTTATTAGGGGCCTCCTGTTATATTCTTCCAAGATAATAGAGGAGATAAGATGCTTATAGTTAACCATAGTAAGAGACTGTTTATAGTTTATTACCTGCACATTCGTAAAGCAGGCACTGGCTAAGGAAACTGAATTCTCATGATTGACTCAGACCAGCACTACTTAAAACCCTTTTTGCAGTTTGGAGAATGTTTTATATTTACACTGCCTAGTATAGTAGCCCCTAGTCACATATGGCTGTTGAGCATTTAAAGTGTGGCTAGTAAGACTGAGGAGCTGAGTTTATGATGTTATTTAATCTTATTTATTAAAAGTTAAAAAGCCACATGCATCATGGCTACTAAGAAAATAAATTTTATTCATTTATATTTTGCCAGTAAATTGCTCATTTTATTTAGATTTTTCAAGTTTATTAGAATAGGGCTGTTTCTAATACTCTCTTACAATTTTATTTTTTTTTTTAAGATTTTAGATATTTATTTGAGAGAGAGAGAACACAAGCTGGGGGCAGAGGCAGAGGGAGAACCAGACTCCTTGCGGAGCAGGGAGCCCAACGTGGGCTTGTCTCCATCCCAAGACCCTGGGATCATGACCTGAGCCACCCAGGTGGCCCATTCTCTTATAATTTTAAATCTTTTCTGCATCTACTTTTTGTTTGTGCTTTTAAAATCAGCTTTATTAAGGTATAATTTACATACAGTAAAATCCAACAATTTTAAGTGTATAATTTGATGAGTTTTGACAAGTATATACAATCACGTAAACACCAGTTGAACATTTCTGTCACCCCAAAGCTTTCCCTCCTGCTCCTTGCTATCAGTCTGCCTCTTCCCACTTCCTCACCTCTAGTAACGACTCATCAGCCTTCTATCAGTAGGTTTTTGCCTTTTCTAGGATTTCATGTAAATAGAATCATATGGTCTATGGTCTTACACATCTGGCTTCCTTCACTTAGCATAGTACTTTAAAAATTCATCCATGTCATTGTATGTTGTATCAGTAGTTCATCATGGAGAAGTATCCCACCTCTTTATCCATTTACCAGGTAATGGACACTTGGGTTGTTTCCAATTTTTAGCTTTTGTTAAAACTGCTATTAACATTCAAGTTTAAATCTTTTTTGTGAATCTATGTTTTTATTTCTCTTTGGTAAATATCTAGGGGTAGGATTAGTAGGCTGCACAGAAAGTTTGTATTTAATTTTGTAAGAAATTGACATACTTTTCCTGATGTTTGAAAATTCAGTTTTAGTTGCTCTTCCTCTTCAGTCTTTTAAATTTTAGCCATTCTAGTGCATACATAGTTTCCCTTTGTGGATTGTAGGTTGAATTTGCATTGCTTTAATGACTGATGATGGTGAAGATATTTTCATGTGCTTATTTGGCACTTGCAGATCATCTTTGGTAAAGTGTGTGTTCAGAATTTTTTCTATTTTTTCATAAGGTTGTCTTACTACTGATTTGTGAAAGTTTTTTTTTTCTATTCCACATAAAAATCCTTCATCAGATACTCGTTTTACTAGTACTGTGTCCCATCTTGCTTCCCCTCTCCTTTCTGTAACAGTATCTTTTGAAGTGCCAAAATATGTAATTTTGTTGAAACTTGATCAATTTTTTATATTCTCTGCTTTTGTGCCCTATTTAAATTTTTTTTTTTTGCCTAATTTAATGTCACTTATAGTTTCTCTCTTTTCTTCTAGAAGTTTTATAGTTTTAGCTTTTGTATTTCAGTTTCTGATCTATTTCAAGTTAATTTTTATATGTGGTGCGAGGTAAAGCTCAAGGTTCATTTTCTTGTGTATGGCTGCCTGTTTATTGAAAAAGATATTTTTGCCCATTGACTGCCTTTGAATTTCTTTCAAAAATTAATTGATCAGGTGCCTGGGTGGATCAGTCAGTTAAAACATTCGACTCTTGGCTTTGGCTCAGGTCATGATCTCATGTGTCCTGAGATCAAGCCCTTAAGTGGGGCTCCCTGCTCAGCGGGCAGTCTACTTGAGATTCTCCCCCTCTGCCCCTTCCACCCTCCACATTCCCCCCACCACCACTCGCTCACTCTCGCTCTCTAAAATAAATAAGTAAATCTTTAAAAAAATCAATTGACCATACATGTATGGGTTTATTCCAGGATGCTCTATTTTGTTACATTGATCTATATGTCTGTCATATACCATTACCACACTGTTTTGATTATTATGTCTGTATATTATTACTACACTGTTTTAATTACCATCAATGTAAGTCCTGGAGTCAGTGTAAGTCTTTCAACTTTATTCTTCTTTTTTGAAATTATTTTGACTCTTCTAGATCTTGAGCATTTTAATATAAATTTTAAAATCACTTGTCAGTTTCTGGAAGGAAAAAAAAGGCTGTTGGGATTTTGGATAGGGTTACTTTGTAGATCAATATCTAGGAATTGACATTTTGACATCTTGTATCTTCTAGTCCATAAAAATTCCAAATTGAGAATATTCCTTAAACTACCCTGAAGCCAAATTTTAATTGTTTATACATCCTTTTTTTTCTTTTGAGCTACATCATTGGAATAGGTGGAATATGCATGAAACTATCATTACAACCTTATGATTTTTTTTTTTTTAAGATTTTATTTATTTATTTGACAGAGAGAGACACAGTGAGACAGGGAACACAAGCAGGGGGGGTGGGAGAGGGAGAAGCAGGCTTCCCGCCGAGCAGGGAGCCGGATGTGGGACTCGATCCCAGGATCCTGGGATCATGACCTGAGCCGAAGGCAGATGCTTAACGACTGAGCCACCCAGGCGCCCCACAACCTTATGATTTTAATCTCTGTGAGTTGTTGTGTGTTTCATATAGGAATTGGCTATTATTTTGGGAAAAGTGTAGTTGGGGCCTACATAATACAGGTTGCTGTCAGACCAGTTTCCTCTTCTGAGATGACAAAGCTTTCTCTTTTTTTCCTACATCTTTTCTTTTCTTTCTTCTTTTTTTGTCTCTGCTCCATTTCCCCTGGTTGCCATCACCATTTTATTCCTTGCCCACCTATTCTTGTTTCTGCTAACCCACAAAAAAGAAATATGTTCTTTATTTTCATTTTCTTCTTTTGAAAGAGAAAATATATTTTTAGGAATTTTTTAGCTGTGTAAGGGTCAAGTGAAGTTTTGTTAACCCTTTGGGATTATAAAACAAAATTGAACTTTTGTTGTGATGATATGAGTTTAAATGTTACTAAAACTCTTCAAATACGTGTTTCCAGGATATTTGGGAGATTTTACCTTACTGTCATGCTGCTCATTAAGTGTATTTTTAGAATGTATTTAATTTTATATAGCACATTATCTTTACTAAATTTATCCACTAAAAGACCAGTAAGACCATTAGAATTTCTGTGATGCATGAGATTATGGTCAGTGTGTTCCTTAGCTGTATTTGACTTATTTAAAAAAAATTAACCATTGCTTTACGTACCTCTCTAAGATTTCATATTACGTGTGTGGGCTGTTAGTTATGGTGAATTATTCATCTGGGAGCACTTTAATACTAAAATCCTCTCTTGAAAAGTTTACTTGTTCTATTTGTCTTCTAGAGTTCATATTTCCCAACCAAGAAAACTTGAAAATGAGTAGCCGGCGGAAACGTGCTCTTCCAGTGAGAGTCGATGAGGAAAAGCAACAGCAGCTTCATTGGAATATGCATGAAGACAGAAGAAACGAACCTCTCACCCTAACTGACGATGAGCACCCCTCCGCGGGTTCAGTTTTCTCTTCTGCTCACCGTATCATCCTAGATGATAGTCTAAAGGAAGAAGTGGCTCACAAAGATAAGAAGAGGTGTTCCGAGGCAGTGAGCATCTCAAAATCAATCGATAAAGAAGAGACTGGTGGCATTTTGTCCCCTTTCTCTGTAAAGCTGAATATCGTGATTTCTCCCTATCACTTCGATAATTCTTGGAAGGCATTTCTGGGCGAATTAACCCTTCAGCTTCTTCCCGAACAGAGTTTAATTGAACATTTTTCTGAAAGGAGTTTTACATTGATGAGTTCAGAGTCAAGCAGTCATTTCCTGATCTATGTTAATTCAGAATGTGAAGATGTAGAGAAACAAGAAAAAGGACTCAATGAGCCGATTAGTATTTGTGAAAAGGGTATTCGAGTGGAATCATCTTTCAGTGGTGAAATGTTAGAAGATTTGGGGTGGCTACAAAAGAAGAGAAGAATAAAACTTTACCAAAAACCAGAAGGAAATCACATGATCAAGGTACTCAATTTCTGTGGTGTCTTTTAAGGTTCTGCGTTGGGCAGTCCCATTTTGAAGTTAACTTAGAAGGAAGGTCTAAAAAGCCAGAAATAAGCCTCTCATTATTAAGTTTTGAAGTGCACTTTATTTTGGGCTTTCAGTAACTGTAAAAATATGTATACTATAGCTGATCATTTCCAGGCTGTTCTTTTTCAAGATATCCCAGATTCCTCCCTTCTGGTTCTACTCTCAATGTCTTGTCATCTCTCCCTCTTCTTGTAGCAGTCCCTTAACCATTGCCCTGCTTATCTTTTCAACTCCATCTGCTTTGTCTCTGAATTGGTATAATGTGAATGAAATGGAATTCTGTTACTCACTGCAGAATCAAGTGTAATCTGGCACATAACTCCCTTCTTTGATAGGTCCTTGTCTACTTCTCCAGCTTCATCTTTTATCACTCTGCTTTTTATTTTGTCCCAGAAATTCCAAATTGATTTATTTCCTGCATATTTTCTGGCCGTATTTCTGCATCTTTGCTTTTGTTTTCACAGTTCTCTGCCTGGATTTTTCCCTTCCTTTTCCCTAATAACTCCTGGGCATTCTCTGATATTCACCTCAGAGTTTACTTCTCTAGGGAGATCTTTTCTTAAAATTCATGGATGGTATTACATGCCTTTCCCCTTAATACTCTATACACGTTTATTTTTGCCTTGGCCACTTGTGTACTTATATTTTGGATTTTTCTCCTTCAGCAGACTATGAAGTCATTTATCTTCACAGCCTAGTAAAACCCTGATACTGAACAGATTTTCAGCAAATGAATGAGTAGATTTATAATTCATTTCAGGCTCTACTATTTACTAGCTAAGTAACTTTATGTGAGTCATTTAAATGCTCTAATTTCATCATCTTTCTGTATAAAATGTAAATAATAATCATTCTTTTTACTTTATACAGTCATGTTGAGAATCAGGTGAGAAACTGTAAGTAGATGTCCTTTATAAACTATGAAGCAGGTTAATATGCCTTTATGCCAAAACTTGAAAGGAAAAGAATTCTAAAATGTTAAATTCACTTTTGTTCAATTGAAAACCGTGTCTTGTGTGTCTTTCTCACATTAAAAAGCAATTGTATTAGTATACTTTCAGAACTGACGAAAGGAATGGAGAAAATTTAGAAGCATTAGATTGTAATTAATTCTTCCCTGGAGAATGAAACTATGCAACCCCTTATTCCCTCTCCTTGTGATCATGCATGCCAAAATTGTGGCTCAGTGATAGCAAGTATGTAAAAATTCATGGCTTGTATATCTGTTCTGTCCACCTTCTCTGTAGACCAAGTCTTGATCCATTCTGTTTTCTTATCCCAGTTTTTATAAATATTTAAACATTTATTGCTGTTATAATAAGCTAACTCTAGATGGACACAAGGCAGAGAACAGATAATAATGAAATACATTCGGGGCGCCTGGGTGGCTCAGTTGGTTAAGCGACTGCCTTCGGCTCAGGTCATGATCCTGGAGTCCCGGGATCGAGTCCCGCATCGGGCTCCCTGCTTGGCAGGGAGCCAGCTTCTCCCTCTGACCCTCCCCCCTCTCGTGTGCTCTCTGTCTCTCTCATTCTCTCTGTCTCAAATAAATAAATAAATAAAATCTTTAAAAAAAAAAGATTAAAATAATGAAATACATTCTTTGTTACTCGTTCCTATATAATGCTGGGTTGGATTCTTGTTCCTTAGTAAAAGAATACGAGCCTCTCCATGATTACGGAATCAGGTCCAGGATAACATAGGAAAATGAAGGAAAAATGGATTTATTGAGTATCTACTATTAGGAAATTTTAAAATTGTATTATATAGGCTATCTCATATAGGCTTCTCTCCATTTTGCAAATAACAGCATTTGGGTCAAAATAAATCAGTTACTTTGCCTGGTTTTTTTAGCTCTTAGATACCAATGCCAGTATTCAACTTCAAATCTTTTGACTGCAGAACTTCATACTGCATTGTTTTACCAGAATCAAGATATATGACATTAATCAGGATCTGTTTTCCTATACATTTTAGTGTTTGATCTAGTAATAGGGATTCCCAAGCCTAACTGTGCTTAAGAATCCTGACATGTGTGTTAGAATCTTCTGGGGGAATCTGCATTTTTAACCAACTTCACTGATTATTCTGATACCCATCATGTTTGGAAATCATTGACTTGGTAGGTGGAATTGGTATTCTCATCACATTCTCCCAGGTTCAGTCCCAGTTTAGGAAGTATTTTTTTCTAACAACTTGAATGGTGCATCTCACATAGTAGGCACTGCATTTGTAGAATGAATTTGTTATTGAAAGTAAAAATTTGTGAGGGAGATTTGGTAGGTGTGTGTCTAATGTTTGTGGGGCAAATACTGTAAATACATTTAGAAGCAGTAATGGTTAAAAAAGTTTTTTTTTCATGTTCTCATAAAGAATGTATTAGTACAATTAAAGCTATGTTTATGTTGATTAATTCTTTGTAGGTTGGAATTTATCTTTTGGAAGGTGGCCTAGCAAAACTTGACTTTTTGAGTGATGCAAATTCAAGAATGAAGAAGTTCAATCAACTCATGAAAAGAGTGATGGAAAAGTTATACAATTTTGTTATTCCAGGTAAATTAAAAATTGCTGTTACTTTAAGAGTTGTGGGTTTTTCCCAAATCGTATACATAACAAGCAGAAAAACGACAAAACCATAATAAAATTAAACAGTCTCTATGAAAGCACTGTGTGACAAAACTATGTCTGAAATGCCCCCACTAATTCATGTCTTTCTTTGCTAAATACTGTGCCTAGCTTAGAGTAAGTACTCAAGAAATGTTTGCAGTCAATAGAATTTAAAGGGATCTGAGCTGACTGGAATTTTTGCATTATTCTTGTGCTTTTATTTTGTCACGGCCAGAGATTCTTGGCTGGCCTTATTCCACCTCTCCTTTGCAGTCTGACAAATAATCTCAAGAGCCTGCTTCCCATAAAGACCAGTTAACTTTCCTACTGTTTCTTGGCAAGATGTTGCATCCTTGGTCAGGATTGCAGCTTCAGAGTTGTCTGCCATTGGTTCCCAAGGGGAGAGTGTGGATGGCTTGGTGCAGCCCATCAACACTACTGGAAAAACAGCTCAAATTCTCCAAGCCCTGCTCATGGTGGGTCAGCATTATTTTAGGTGCAAATTACAGAACATTTCATACTGGAATATTTGGGAAATCAGTCTCTGAGCTTGACTGTTGAGTTGTTTCTTCATGCTTTGCAAAGCTTCATAATACTAATAAAAGTAGGGGTGCCTGGCTGACTCAGTTGGTAGAGCACGTGACTCTTGATCTCAGGGTCATGAGTGCAAGCCTCATGTTGGACAGGGAACCTACTTAATTTAAAAAAAAAATACTAACAAAAGTAAATCATTTTGCATGTTGAAGACTTAAAAGGAGGAAAATCTCTGGTTTCAGAATTGGAAGAGATGCTTTTAAGTACATCTAGAATTTTTAAAGTTATGGTAAGAATTATTCTGCGTTTTAAAAATAATACAAGTTGGACTTTTCAAAGGAAAATGTCAAAGGATTTCAAAGGAAAACTTCAACTGAGTTATCAGTACTAGATTACACAACTGTAGGAAAAGTCTGAAAGAACCACACATATAACCAGACATTAATTATAAAATTTTAAAAATTATAAATTTATAAATATAAATTATTAAAATTATAAAATTTTGAAAATCTCGTGGCATATTTTTTATTGAAAAAAGTAAATTATGTATTTTGTGGTACAGTCTTCATTCTGGGGCATGTGAGGTATGTTCTGTAAAAGTGGATAGACCTTTTGGGAACAGTTGAGAAATAAATCATAAGCTAAAGTGGGTTTGTACATTTATTCAAGATTTTGAATTTTTTTTCATGTTACAGTAGGCACCAGTTCTTCCACAGGGCAGTTGTGCCCAACAATTATATCTGATATTTTTTACAAATTTGTATTAATGGCTTAAGCACTTATCTCCTAGTTGGCTCCTGCTACTACCAAATGCCTATCTTTTTTTAGCATAAGAAATAAAATGGGAACAACCTTTGTCTTAATAGACATAGAAAAATTATGTCTGCATATGGATTTTTTTATGTTAAGATGTAGAAGTATACATAACAAGCAGAAAAACGATATTTATATCGTTTTTCTTTTATAAATTGCAAAAGATATTCACATTCAAATGTTTATTAAATATCTACAATGGGCAAAGCATGTGCTAGCTGCTCCGAGGAGTTATAAAAACAAAAGACAGGCTTTGCCTAACAGTTCAGTGCATAAGGTAAGAATACATATAAATGATTGCACTGCCAGACAGATTGCAGTGTATCACTATATCCAAAGTAGAAGAGTATTACACGAACACAGAGGAAGAACATTAATTCTAACCAGGGAAAACAAAAGAAAATGCCATGGAAAAAGTTGAACTATTTTGAAAGGTAGATTTTTGATCAGGGAAGAATTAAGGATAGGGTCTGCCCGTGCCAAAACACACTGAGCAAGGCCCCAGAGATGGAAAAATGCATAATATGTTCTTAGAATAAGAATTGTTATAGTTATAAAAGGTGGATCGGGTTGTTTTGAGTACATTTATTGTTGGATGTGCAGATGTGTTGGAAGAGGATGAGGAAGATTCAGAGAGTGAGCCAGAGGGACAGGACATTGATGAGCTCTACCAGTTTGTGAAGCAAACACACCAGCAAGAAACACAGTCCATCCAAGTCGATGTCCAGCATCCTGCATTGATTCCTGTGTTGAGACCGTACCAGAGAGAGGCTGTCAATTGGATGCTACAACAAGAGCATTTCAGAAGCACTCCTACTAGTGGTAAGTATAAGATGCTTAAAGAAAGACAGATTGATCAGAGGGATTATGTGAGAGATAGTTAGGATGGGGGACATTGTTAAACAAATCATATTGAAAAGAAAATAAAATGGGTTTTACTGTGAACAAAATGATAGTCTAAGAAACTCTTTAAAATTGAAATCTAGAGAAATTCATTTGTGGGTTCCCTCATCTATAAGTGTTTGAACTAATTTTTCCTGCCCAAATAAAGGCTGCCTGGATTGGAATTTTTAAAAACTAATACATTTTCTACATGCCTTTCCAACTAAGAATTGCTTTTGGAACCTGATCAGATGGGAATCTTGTTAATCGTCTGTCTGCAAGAGGCTTCACAATAATGATGAATATTAGCAACAGAAAGCAAATTTACAAAAGTGGGAGACTAATGTGTGACTAATTCTCCTAGGTTTGCATTTATTTTCTTTGCTCCACAAACTAAATAATAGAATAAAATGTTATCTATTAAGAGTTTTCGTAGAAGTAAATTTATGGGAGTCATTTATGCTGCTTCTTTATCATTATCTTTAAAGAGAAAGGCACAAGGTGAGATTTTTGCATGATTCTAGGAAGTGAAATGTTGACTATTTAACTCTCTTTCTGTATAGATTTATTTTAATGATGGATAGCTCTTATTTCTCCCATAGGTTCCAGTTTCTACTTTTTTATCCAACAAAATTCATTTTTTTTAATTTTTAATTTTGGAAAATAAGTATCTGTTTATAGCCAACATTATTTCTTCCCACTCCCCCTCATCCCATACTCTAAATTATTTTGAAGCAATAATTTCACATATCATATCATTTAATCTGGTAATACTTCAGTTTATTTTATTAAAAGAAAGGGTTCCTTTAAACAGATATAAAATATGTATCTTAATAATGGCTTTTTAAACCCAGTAATTCCTTAATATCACCAAATCTCTCCCCTCTCTCCCTTCTTTTCTTCTCCCCTTTCTGTTTCTCTATTTCTCTTTCTCTCTTACAGTTTATTCAAATCTGAAACCAAATAATGTTCATACATTGGAATTAGTTGTTGTCCATTAAATTTCTGTAATCCATAGATTTTTATCTCCTCACGTTCTGTATTTTTTCTTACAATTTATCCGTTGGAGAAATTTGTAGTTTCTGTAGTTTCCCACAGACTGGACTATTTTTTTCTCCAAAATGAAATAACATTTCTTTAATTAAGTAATTTTATTAAGGTATAACTTACAATAAAATGCACAGATCTTAAGGGCACAGTTTGATAAATTTGCACAAATCTGTGCGTCTGTGTCACCAGTGACCCAATTAAGACATAGAACTAGATTTTCTCAGAAGGCAGTAGCCACCCATGCCTCTTGAGACTTGAAGTGGCTGTCCAAATTATGTGTTGTAAGTTTAAAATATATACCAGATTTCAAAGAGTACAAAAAAAGGATGCCAAATATCTCATTAATAATTTTTATATTGATTTCATATTGAAATGATGATATATTCGTTATAGTAAGCTAAATAAAATTGACAAAGTTGGGGCGCCTGGGTGGCTCAGTTGGTTAAGTGACTGCCTTCGGCTCAGGTCATGATCCTGGAGTCCCGGGATCGAGTCCCTCATCGGGCTCCCTGCTCGGCAGGGAGTCTGCTTCTCCCTCTGATCCTCCATCTCATGCTCTCTCTCTCTGTCTCATTCTCTCTCTCAAATAAATAAATAAAATCTTTAAAAAAAAAAAAATTGACAAAGTTGATTTTACCTATTTCTTTTATATCTGTCTTACAGTGCTGACATGAAATATTTCCATCACCCCAGAAAGTGCCCTCGTGGCCCAGTCAGTTCTCCTCTACTTCAGCCCCTTCAGGAGGCAAATACTGCCACCATAAATTAGTTTTGCCTGTTTTTGAAACAATAGAATGGCAAAATATGGACACTTGAGGCAGGAGAGAAGTCGGCTCTTTCAACATGTTTTTGAGATTCAACCACACTGCATGTATCAGTAATCCATTCTTTTTTCTCCACAGAATGGATTTTCTTGACTAAATCCCATGTATCATTTAATAGTTATGTTCCCTATGGCTCCCATAAATTGAAGCTTTTTATCTTTTAATTTTTTCATTTTATAAACCCTATATATCTGTATTCCTAGTGCATCTGTTAATCCCTAAAGAAGGCAACAAAAAATTACTTGCTGTTTCACTGGTGGGTAGAAACATGCTTCCTAATTTGGCATTTGGTTTAAACAACTTAAAATTTTAAGGGAAAGGATAGTGAAAGATTTTGATTGAAATACACTCAGTACTTCAGTGTTTTAGAATACTTTTTCCTCAGCTAAATAAGCCTTTCTTCCTACTCTCAGACCCATGTAAAAGGTTAGGTCTGATTTAGGTTAATGTATTAGCCCACTAGCATATGTCTGTTGACTTATTAAACTAGGCAACTTCTTGAAGGATTTATAAAGGATAAGCTACTTTCCTTTATTGGGTGGGAGTTGATTACAGGTACTAGTTTTCTTTTCCTGTTAAACCTCTGTGATTTGCTGCACTTTGTTTTTCTAACTTAACACTTATTTATGTAGAAAATATTGGTGTCCAAAGCAAAGGAAGAATAAACATAAGAATAATATCTGAAGAAAAGAATGGAGATCCTAGCCTTTTCCTTTGTGTATGTGGCTTCCCAGGGTATCCTTACTGCTAACTTATTTTTATTTTAATGTGATTATCTGGCAGAAGGGAAGACAAACAGAAACTTGTTCTTATGGTTATATTTTTCTTTAGAAAATGCCCTGCACTTCTTATGGCGTGAGATTGTTACATCTGAGGGTTTGAAACTCTACTACAATCCGTATACAGGCTGGTAAGACAAACTTCATGTGCTTGGTATTAAAAATAATTATTATGAAAACCTGTATGAGATTGGTAGCATATGTCTTTAGCTTTGACAGTAACCTTAAGAAGGAATACTAAGTGAAAGTCTTGTTAGACTTCATATTTTTACCATTTATATAGGTAGGACAAACATGAAATTAATAGTGCTTGTCATTTTTCAGTAAATGAATGCAATATGATAGACTTAAGATGCTTAGTTATTGACATTTAAAGAGATTATAATTTTAGTATTATGGGCCAATTTTTATATTTTCATTAAATTTGTTAATTTCTATTATAAAAGTCTTAGGAATCATTAAATATAATAACATAATGGGTGAATCGGTAGTTATTGTCCTCCTTACTTTTTTATTCACAGACACAAAAGAAGGCAGACATGCTTCCTATTATTTATAGAAGAGAAAAAAAATGATGGGCATTTACCAGTACCACTCCTGTTTCTGCAGACTTAGTTGTCAGCTCGGGCAGTTTTTTATTCATGACCTAGGGTTTCAGATTGTTTCACCCTAAAATGTAGTTTAAAAAAAACTTAGACTTTTATGGATTTCTTCCAGTTTTCTTTAGGAATAGTATAATTTTTACTTGCATTCCTGTAATATGTTTTTCTTGTTTTTTCCTTTAGCATCATCCGTGATTACCCAAATGCTGGGCCACAGTTGCTTGGTGGAATCTTAGCAGATGAGATGGGTCTCGGAAAGACAGTGGAGGTTTTGGCTCTGATTCTGACACATACTCGGCAAGATGTCAAACAAGATGCTCTCACTCTTCCTGAGGTAGGAGGAGTACTGTAGGGCTGAGAAAGCAGGGGACATATGTTCTCAAAAAGCATCGTATGGCCAACATTTGCTTGGCACTTAAGCCAACACTCCGTTTACTCAGAGGCTAATGATTTTTACAAGTTATTAGTTAACCTCAAGTGGGCACAGAGAATAGGATGTTTGTGACCTAGCAGGGTTTTTGTAAGTGATGTTGGCCAAGTAGGATGGGGTTATGCTGTCACCAAGCTTCCTTCTAGTTGGCAGGGAAACTCTTAGGAAAGTACTCTTACTTCCTCAAATGTTTGGTCAGTACTACAAGCCTCCACATTACCATTAAATTTTTTTGAGTGATTTTTTTTTAATTGTACAAATCACAAATATGTAAATCATAGAATCTAATAATTAGTAATTGGATTGCTAAATGAATCAAACTCTAAGTCCTTGTTCCAAAATATAATTATGTTTAAAAATACAAATTTTAGAGTTTATGGGGGGAAAAAAAACAGCTCCACTGAGGCAAATGCAGCTCATAGCTCATAATTTCCAATAACCAAATCTAAAATCAACACACTAGTTAAGGGTATAATTGATTACCGGTAGGGCCCACTGTGCTCACAACTTTAGTGATAATGTGATCTTCTGACAGGGTCACGTTTGCAAAGTTAACCTTGTAGATCTGAGTACGGAATAGAAAATACCTATTTCATTGTTAAAAAAAAAAATGAGTTGGAATATATAGCAGTTAACTGTCGGTAACTTCTATATTAATTCCATATTTAAACAAGCCTTTATTTTTTTTTTTTTTAAAGATTTTATTTATTTATTTGAGAGAGAGAGAATGAGAGACAGAGAGCATGAGAGGGAGGAGGGTCAGAGGGAGAAGCAGACTCCCTGCCGAGCAGGGAGCCTGATGTGGGACTCGATCCCGGGACTCCAGGATCATGACCTGAGCCGAAGGCAGTCGCTTAACCAACTGAGCCACCCAGGCGCCCCTAAACAAGCCTTTAAAAGTTAATTTCAGAAGTTCCACACTTAACATTTAGGTAATTTAAGATAATATGTAAAATTTTAAAAAGTGATGGCTAGCAGTAAGCCCTGAGATAAAAAATAAGGTTTGTATGTATGAGTAGCATTTTAGCTCTTTTTCTCATCATTTTTTACAACTCTCTTGCATCTCCTTAATAGAAGGAGGGTTAATTTTAATAAGCAAGTCCAGTTACTGAAAGCAAAACACTGTGTGACTACTGAATGTTGTTTATATCAGGGAAAAGTGGTGAATTATTTCATTCCATCACATTATTCTGGAGGAAAAGTAAAAAACACAGAAACCCAGAATATGGAATTTGAACCAAAAGAAAAAGTTCAGTGCCCCCGTAAGTATGAAATCTCTTAAAGAAAATACCTTTTTACAGTCATCTTTATACAGTCATCTGTTAATAGTTCTTATTCCTTAAATGGAGCTATCTTGTTACGGATAATTGTTTTCATAGTCGTTTATGCTTTGTATAAATGGAGTCAATTACAGGTCATGTTATCTTAACAAAACTAAAGGTTTATTCTTTCAATTGATTGCTTCAATCTTTTTTAGTCTAGTTAGTTCTTGTTCAGTCTTTTATATTTGAATTTCTTTATCTTACAGTTTAAACCAGGCTTTGTTTATTCTCAAGCATAGCTACTTCAGATTCTGCTAGCAAATGAATGTTTCCCTTACTAATGGTAGCATATATATAGATAATTGGGAGATGTTTTTTAAAATACAATTTTCAACGATAGTTGCTTTATAAGATTAACAAATTAATGAGTAATTCTTCCTTAAATTATTTCCATTACAGTAATTTATTAATGTGTTTAGATAAATTTTTATTACATATTCTTCAAAATGATGGTATACAGACAACATATCTTCAGTAAATCTGTTTTATTTTTCTTAACTTAGTTCTCAGTGCATATTAAGATTAATTGCATTCTATTTTTTTTAATTTTAATTATTTTGACTGAGTTAGTATATCCTTTTGCATGTAGCTACACGTGTGATGATCCTGACAGCTGTGAAAGAAATGAATGGAAAAAAAGGAGTGTCCATCCTTTCCATCTATAAGTATGTCAGTTCTATATATAGATACGATGTTCAGCGGAACAGGAGTCTTCTGAAACGGATGCTGAAATGTTTAATTTTTGAAGGTCTTGTGAAACAGATCAAAGGCCATGGTTTTTCTGGAACTTTTACACTGGGGAAGAATTACAAGGAAGAGGATATATATGATAAAACAAAAAAGCAGGTAACAGAACATTTGTTAAGTTGCTGTATGGGATGCCTTATGGAAGGCATTGACAGATCCCACTTGATACGGAGGCTCTTAGAGACTGAAGGTAAAAAACAAACCAAGAAAATCACATATGGCTGTGACTTATCTTTTCTACTTCCTGAATATAAGTTTCATCAGAGTAGAAACATTATTTTGTTTACTAAATGCAGAGAGGAGTGCTTGGCACATAGCAAATACTCAATAAATATTTGCTGAGTGAATTATATTAGTGGGTTAAGCATATTATAAAGTTTAAAATAACTCTAAAGAATATATTTCTCGGGCGCCTGGGTGGCTCAGTCGTTAAGTGTCTGCCTTCGGTTCGGGTCATGATCCCAGGGTCCTGGGATCGAGTCCGCTTTGGGCTCCCTGCTCAGCAGGAGGCCTGCTTCTCCCTCTCCCACTCCCCCTGCTTGTGTTCCTGCTCTCACTCTCTCTCTGTCAAATAAATAAATAAAATCTTTAAAATATATATATACATGTATATATATTTCTCAAATAAATAAATAAAATCTTTAAAATATATATATACATGTATATATATTTCTCAAATAAATAAATAAAATCTTTTAAAAAAAGAATATATTTTTTAAAGAGGAAAAAGTAAGTAAAACAACTCTATTTTCATCATGCTGTTGTCAGCAGGTAAAAAATCTGTCCTATAGTTGTTTGTTTGTTTGTTAAGATTTTATTTATTTGTTAGAGAAAGAGAGGGCACAAGCAGGGAGAGCGGCAGGCAGAGGGAGAAGCAGGCTCCCTGCTGAGCAAGGAGCCCGATGTGGGCTCAATCCCAGGACCCTGGGATCATGACCTGAGCTGAAGGCAGACGCTTAACTGACTGAGCCACCCAGGCATTGTTCTATAGTTTAAAAATATCAGATGCCTTACATTTGCTTAGCTCTTTATATACATTTTCAGTTTTTTATGTAAATTCTCATTTTTCCCATATCATCATCTTACGATAGCTATGCATACATAAATCAGGTAAAGGGGGCACTTGGCTGGCTCTGTCAGAACAGCATGTGACTCTTGATCTCGGGGGTCATGAGTTCAGGCCCCACGTTGGGTATAGAGATTACCATAAATAAATAAACTAACTAACTTTAAAAAAATTAAAGGGGCACCTGGGTGGCTCAGTCGGTTAAGCGTCTGCCTTCAGCTCAGGTCATAATCTCAGGGTCCTGGGATCGAGCCCCGCATCGGGCTCCTTGCTCAGCGGAGAGTCTGCTTCTCCCATTCCCTCTCCCTCTATGATCTCTCTCACTTTCTGTCAAATAAATAAAATCTTTAAAATAAATAGATAGATAGATAAATTAATTAATCAGGTAAAGACCAATGACAACAAGTCAGGGTGGGGCTACCAGCTTGTCTACTGTGAAAGAAATGGCAGATTAAAAAGTTCATTTTCTGGAGGAGGGAGTCTCCCAACATTTTCCCCAGCCAGAGTAGAAGGCTGTAATGAACTACTGTGTTTCTAGTAATCTTTCTATCACCAAAAAAGGAAAATCTTCTATTAATGCCATTCATTTCATTTTAAGTGTCCCTACTCCTCTGTTCAGCCTCACCTCTGACGACATTTCTGGGAAGCTGTTGCTGGCACCTACCTCCCCATCACAGCCCCTCTGTTATATATTCCCCTTACACATTCCTGTACCATCATTTCACTTTTTATGTTCTTCTGTTTCCAACAGACCCCCTTGGAGACCAGGAGCTAAATAGTCCTCATATTTCTATCCCCAGCATCTAACATTATGCCTGGCACAAAATTGGCATCCAGTAAATAATTTCAGGAGGGGACACAGAAAGGACAAAGAGGAATTTATTTGCTAATTGCAGTAACTAGTAGATTAGTTTTCACTTTCTTTAAATGCTATGTATTAGTACTTGGTATGTGTATAATGGCCCTAGTTTGTATATTTATGTATTATAAACTACTAGTCTTTAATTGATTGACAGACTATAAATTATAAGAGGTTAATGTCAAAATATTAGTAGCTCCATATCTTTCTAATTTTTATTCTCTTCAAATTTTACTTACATAGTAGTAGAGCCTTCCTTTTTAGACCTACATACAGAGGGCAGATTGAAAGCCACTGATCAGGAATGATTCGCCCCTGGGAAAATGATAGCAAAGAATGGCGATTGGATTTTTATGGAAAACTCATAAATAAGGTTGGGAATTTAATTTCAGAAATGTAGTTATATTGAAATAAATTAATTAAATAATATTTTTCATAGGCAGTAGGGAGTCCAAGGAAAATTCAGAAAGAATCCAGAAAATCAGGGAGCAAAGACACAGATTCTGAATACTTGCCCTCAAACACATCTGATGATGATGATGATGATCCTTACTATTATTACTATAAGGCTCGGAAAAATCGGAGTAAATTCAGGAAAAAGCCTGTTCCATCCACGAAAAAGGGAAAAGGTCAGCCTAACATCAATCTTAATTCACAAGATCACTGTCCAGCTACCAGTGACTCTGGAATTACTGATGTTACCACATCTAAAAGTACATGTATCTTTGAAGGAAAGCAAGAACATGCAGCAGAGGACCAAGCTGAATCTCTAAACTCTGCTGATGGTGATGTGCCTCAGTCTACGGTCATGAGTCCCTGTAATTCCTCTGATTATCGCTTTGAGTGCATATGTGGTGAACTTGACCAGGTAGACCGTAAACCTCGTGTTCAGTGCCTGAAATGCCACCTGTGGCAACATGCAAAATGTGTGAATTATGAAGAGAAGAATCTGAAGATTAAACCTTTTTACTGCCCCCACTGCCTTGTTGCGATGGAGCCAGTATCAACCAGAGCAACTCTGATCATCTCGCCCAGTTCCATCTGTCATCAGTGGGTGGATGAAATCAACAGGCATGTGAGGTCGTCATCTCTTCGAGTCCTGGTAAGGCAGTTTGGGCTCTTGAAAGGGATAGGAAAATGGCAATTGTTGCTTCCTTGTGGTAATTTTTAGAATCTTTGTCACTGTTGTTTATCCCAAAAATTAACTTAATGAGATAATATGAAATCAGAACTTGAAGAGGAAATTGAGAATAAGAAATAAAACAGATTCTGTATTCTTGTCTGACATCAGAAGTTCAGAAGTTAAAGCACTTTGAGTGAAAAGATGTGAAAGCTTTTGAAAAAAATTCATCATGTAAATAAACAAAAAAGACTTCATACGCGCATTTATGCTCTCAGACAAAAGTACAGTTCAAAGGCAGCATTGTGTAACAGTAGCTACTTGTCTGATCTCTACCCCTCAGCTCCAGAATTGGTCTCTGAAGCCTCAGTTACCTCATCTGTAAAATAAGAATTTACTCATTCAACAAATACTTATTGAGCACCTGTAATGTACTAGGAACTCTGCTAGGTTCTAAAAATAGTACCCCCTCACAGACTTACTGTGAAAGTTAAATGATTTGCTAAAGTGCTGGTACACAGTACATTGTAATTTACTAATGTTAGTATTCTCTTTTTGTTGTTGTTGATGTATAGTTGACATACAATGTTTTATTAATTTCAGGTATATAACAGTGAATCAACAATTCTGTATATTACACTGTGCTCACCATAAGTGTAGTTACCATCAGTCACCATGCAACGTTATTACAATATTATTGACTGTATTACCTATGCTGTACTTTTCATCCCTGTGACTTATTTATCTGGTAACTAGAAGTCTGTACTTTTTAATTCTCTTCACCTGTATCACCCACTCCCTCAATTCCCTCTACTCTGGCAGCCAGCAATTTGTTCTTTCTATTTATACTGTTTTATGTTTGTTTGTTCATTTGGTTTTTTAGGGTTCCACATACAAGTAAAGTATGGGATTTATCTTTCTCTCTGTGACTTACTTCATTGAGGCTAATACCTCTAGGCCCATGTTGTCACAAATGGCAAGATCTCATTCTTTTTTCAACTAATATTCCACTGTATATATGTATATACCACATCTTCAGTTTCTGTCATCAATGTCTTAATAGTTTTCAGGTACAGGTTTTTCACCTCCTCAGTTAAATTTATTCCTAGTATTTTTTTTTTTTGGTATAACTATAAATGGATCATTTTCCTAATTTCTCTTTCCGTTACTTTTTTATTAGTGTATAGAAGTGCAACAGATTTCTGTATATTAATTTTATATCCTGCAACTTTACTGAATTCACTAATTGTTTCTGATAGTTTTTAGGTGGAATCTTTAGGGTTTTTTATATGTATACTATCATGTCACCTGATAATAATGACAGTTAGACTTCTTTCTTACGAATTTGAATCAATTTGAGTGCCTTTTATTTCTTTTTCTCATCGGATTGCTATAGCTAGGACTTTCAGTACTATGTTGAATAAAAACAGTAAGGACAGACATCGTTGTCTTATTCTTGACCCTAGAGGGAAAGCTTTCAGTTTTTAACCATTGAGTACGATGTTAGCTGTGAGTTTGTCATATGTGGCCTTCGCTATGTTGAGGTATGTTCCCTCCAAACCCATTTTGTTGAGTAATGTTAGTATTCTTCACTCCCTTTATTCTTCTTTCCTTCTTTCCACACAAATGTCATTTAAGGTTTTCGATGTTTCTGCTACTATCATAGACATGGAGAGAGAATACAGTAATAAGTAAAACATCATCTTTGCCATTGAGGAGCTCTGTTTTGTGGGGTAGATAAACCTTGGTTTGAATCTAGGCTCTGCCAGTTTTGAGCAAGAAACTTCATGTTTCTTATGTGTGGGATAGGAGTAATAACAACTACTAACAAGATTGTTCCTGAAGATAGGAGATAAAGCTCAGCATAGTGTCTGCAACATAAAAGGCATTCAGTAAATTATAGCTCTTATTGTTCTACTTTTTCGTACCTTTGTGCTTTTGCATCTACCTGCCTACCTGCCTACCGTTGCTCAAACCTGGGAGAACTCCTAAATGTTTTTCAAGATCACCTCAAATTTTCACTCCTCTCTGAATTTACCTTCTCAGTTCCAGCATTCGTCTTTCCACTGTGCTACCATTTTTACTTCTGTTATATTTCCTTTCACATTGCTTATGTCATTGGTCTTTCACCCTAAAATGTATCTTTTCTAGGCATGTGTGGAATGTATCTCATAGCATGTTTGGTACTAAACAAATAGAAAGGGCTCAGTAAGTATATAAAAGAATGAATATTGTAGTTATTTTTGATGAGCCTTTCTGCAGTAATGGTGTCTGTGCTGATTATTTCCTAGGTATACCAAGGAGTGAAGAAAGATGGTTTTTTACAACCTCATTTTTTGGCTGAACAGGATATAGTTATCATTACCTACGATGTCCTTCGTTCAGAACTAAACTATGTAGATATCCCACACAGCAATAGTGAGGATGGGCGTCGCTTACGGAACCAGAAGCGCTATATGGCCATTCCCAGCCCCCTAGTAGCTGTGGAGTGGTGGAGGATCTGCCTTGATGAAGCCCAGATGGTTGAATGTCCTGCTGTAAAGGTGAGAATTTTTGCAAAATCTTTTGAGCACTGGGGAAGAAAAAAGAGGAAAGAGATTGGGGAAGTAGTCCATAAAAAATTTAGTAGTTTAAGTGAAATTGACCCACAGTATTGATATTGGTCAAAAGTTGGCTGTTAAACACACGACATTTGCTTTTTTCTTGTGCCGTGAACTACATAACCCTTAGGAATTATTTTGGTATTATGTGAATTATTACTCTATATGCAATGGCTGTGTGTATTTGAATAAGATGGAAGTTTATGTGTGGTGCAGAGGAAGGTATACTCTGTTTAGGGACTTTTATAAGCATTTCTGCTAAGTGGAAAGCTCATCATTGTAGGCTCTGATAGCTTTGGGCCAAAGTTAACTTCGGCAGTTTTTTATCAGAGAGACCATATCATAACAGACCATGCTACTTTAAAGGGAGTATTGATTCAGCCTTTGGTCGTCATATATCTTTATTCCATCTTTGGCCAGTTTGTAACCTGAACTCAATTTATGAATCTCATCTATTAGTATATTGTTCACATCTGAAGGATAGGGTGGCTTAGGGGATGTGTCATGTAGATTGTAGATTTTCATTCTACACGAACTTGAACTACCCTTCCTCTTTTGGGGAGGGCACATGGCAGCCTGCTACTAACAAGAGCCACTGTGCTAGAAGAAGACCCATTGAGTTTGACGTTCAAATTTGAGTGTGATAACTGTTGAATAAAAGCGAATGTGTCTGACCTGAAGCAAAGCTTGTCATGGGCTGTTCTCAGGAGTAAACATATTCCTGATTTTCCCTTTTTTTTCTTTTCTTTTTTATTTCATATTTCTCTTTCATTAGGCTGCAGAAATGGCTCAGCGCTTGAGTGGGATTAATCGCTGGTGCATCAGTGGTACTCCAGTGCAGAGAGGACTGGAGGGTAATGTGTGCTTTCCTCACATTTTGCATGTATTTGAAAAGCTTGCTTTTCTGACGATCAAGTAGGTTTTACCTTTGTTGAGATCCTTTTTAAGTGATTGTACAATATATTTGTATTTCACTCCTAGTGGTTTCAAGCATTTGTCTATTTAAATGGAATTAGGTGGTTTTTGTTTTTATTTATGAGGACAGATACACAGTGAGTAGTCCCATAGTCCTAATTCAAACAGTCATTGTGCCCTCCTCAGCAGTGGAGATGCAGGTCTCAGTTGAACTCAGAGTTCCAAAGCGGTAGGTAGAAAACAGAGAGAACCTAACAAGAAAGAAAGAGAGGAGAGGGAAAAGGAATTAATTTCAATTGGCTGTATCCATAAAAATAAAGATCATAATTTTCATTGGCTGATCCATAAGTAGTGGGATCACAATTTTATTAATTATAAAAGTTATGGGGCGCCTGGGTGGCTCGGTCATTGGGTGTCTGCCTTTGGCTCAGGTCATGGTCCCAGGGTCCTGGGGTTGAGCCCCGCGTCGGGCTCCCTGCTCCGCAGGAAGCCTGCTTCTCCCTCTCCCACTACCCCTGCTTGTGTTCCCTCTCTCGCTGTGTCTCTCTGTCAAATAAATAAATACAATCTTTAAAAAAAAATTATAGAAGTTATAAAGTATCCATAGCTTTATAATATCACTCCTTATGCTTACACCATCATTCCTTCAACTATTCCTCTTGGACGTTTACATTGTGTTGAGTTCTCCCCACCCCCCTACACATTATAACTCATGCTTCTACATTCATCTAACTCATATAACTTATTTTTCTAAAGAGCAGACACTGCATTTTTACAAATTTTATTCAAGTTGTGAGTATTTAAAACAAAGTTTTATTAAATGTTTTACATAATTTTCAGAAAAGCTGTCATTAAAATGTAATTATAAAACGTAGGTATTCTTGAAGTCCTGAACAAATGTTCATCCTTAAAACTTGTCTTTCTTTAAAAAAAAAAAAGTCTTTCTGAAAATTCAGGTTTTCATACATTGTTTTCAACAGGATAACTTACCACTTTTTTAAAATAATATCAATGTTCATTACCATGATCTGAAAAACAGTAATTTTTTGATGATTATTTTTAGGGGCAAAATGTTTTCTAGGAAGATTTTAAGTATGTATTTAAATATTTGTATAATTTTAGTAAATTACATTAAGATATCTATTTATACGATAGTATCAAGCTAATTAAAAGGCCAAATTTAGTGGTCTGCTATTACATTTGGAAATTGGCCGAATTATAGATGTTTAGTTGTTAATAAGATCTCATTAGACTCAAACATTAGCTGAGAGGGCATAGAAGAAAAAGAAAATGACTATCAGAGTCACGCTTTTCTAATTTTAACATTGAAAGAATATGAGCAGTAATTCCTCAGTTTCCTGGGTAGGTTATTTTGGATATGTAAGGTGTTGTCAGGTGTTTAAGCACTTATCACCATTTAACAAATTCTTGAATATTTTTTTAATTCCAGTATAATTATCATCTAGTGTTATATTAGTTTTAGGTGTACAGTATAGTGATTCAGCAATTATATATGTATACATTACTCAGTGTTCATCACAGTAAGGGTACTCTTAATCCCCTTCACCATTTCACCCGTACCCCCACCCACCTCCCCTCTGGTAACCATCAGTTTGTTCTCCATATTTAAGAGTCTGTTTTGTTGTTTGTCTTTTTTTTTAATTTGTTCATTTTTCATTGTTTTGTTTCCTAAATTCCACATATGAGTGAAATCCTATAATATTTATCTTTTTCTGACTGACTTATTTCACTTAGCATTATATACGCTCTAGGTCCATTCATGTTGTTGCATATGGCAAGATTTCATTCCCTTTCTTATGACTTAATAATATTCCATTTTGTATATATACACATATATACACACCACATCTTCTTTATCCATTCACCTGTCAATGGACAGGCTGTTGTAAATAGTGCTGCAATATAGGGATACATATGTCTTTTTGAATTAGTGTTTTTGTTTTCTTTGGGTAATTACCCAGTAGTGGAATTAGTGGATCATACAATAATTCTGTTTTTCATTTTTTTTTTTTGAGGAACTTCCATACTGTTTTCCACAATGGCTGCACCAGTTTGCATTCCCAACAACAGTACACAAGATTTTCTTTATCTCTGCATCCTTGCCAACATTGGTTGTTTCCTGTGTTTTTGATTTTAGCCATTCTGACAGGTGTGAGGTGATATCTCATTGTGGTTTTGATTTGCATTTCCCTGATGATAAGTGATGTTGAGCATCTTTTCATGTGTGTTTGCCATCTGTATGTCTTCTTTGGAGAAATGTATGTATAGCTTTATCTTTTTTTTTTTTAAAGATTTTATTTATTTATTCATGAGAGACAGAGAGAGAGAGAGGCAGAGGGAGAAGTAGGCTCCAAAGGAGCAGGGAGCCTGATACGGGTCTCGATCCCAGGACCCTGGGATCATGACCTGAGCTGAAGGCAGACACTTAACCTTCTGAGCCACCCAGGCACCCTGTATAGCTTTATTGAGGTATAAATGACATAATAAAACTGTAAATATTTAAAATATAAAATTTATAAACTTTTGACATACATATATACCCATGAATCTATTTACACAGTTATGATGATCAGCCCCAAAAGTTTCCTCAAGCCCAAGTTACTTGAAAAAGAGCTTTTCTAAACTTTCTGGAAGTATAGTTTCTTTCCTCTTTGCTTCCATAATTCTCTGATGTCTTTATGGTTCTTCATTGTATCTCTTCTTTTTATAGTTGTTGTGGTAGAAATCTTAGCCTGCCAGGACTTACTATGTTATAGTTGGAAGTGGAAATCTCATTTGTTTTCTTTTGATGTTAGAGCAGGGTTTCTCAACCTTGGCCCCACTGACATTTGGGGTTGGATAGTTTTTTTGTTGGGACCTGTCCTATGCATCTTAGGATATTTAGCTTCCACCCACTAGATGGCAGTAACACTCCTGAAATTGTGACACCTACAAATGTTTTTTAGACATTGCCAAATATCCCCTCAGAGGCAAAATTGTACCGCTCCACAACAACCAGGTTGACCACATATTGAGTTGTATGTCCATAAAGAAATTACATAAACATTCACATTTTTATTTTCCCTAATTTGTAAAGTAAGATGTTTTAAGATTAATTATAATAAAGTATACAAAGCATTTGCACAGTACCTGCCAGGTATTAAATATTCAATGAATGGTAGCTGCTTTTGTTCTTCTTATTATCCACTTATATATTCATGTATTCATTTTAGCTTCTTTGGAAGTGTGACTCTAAATTACTTAAGTACTTTGTGGTGCATTTATTGGTTCATTTATTCTTTGTGAAGTATAATAGCAAAAAATAGACAAGGTCCCTGACCTTCTTGAGCTTAAAGGGGAAGATATATTTATTAAGTACTTAGACAAATACAACATTGTGGTCAAGATGACTTTAATGTATGAAATAAATATAAAATTCAAGCTATAATAGGCTTTGGAAAAGATGTCTGGTTCTGTAATATCACCTAATAGGGATACAGAAGGAAGTGATGGCTGAGCCAGGATCTGAAATATTAATATGAGCTAGGTAAAGAGGGATTCTTAACAAAGAATTCTCTGTTGTTAAGGGAGTAAAATATAAAGATGATCAGGCAGGAGAACAGACAATAGGGTAAAGAGAATTCTTAACAAAGAATTTTCTGTTTTTAAGGGAGTGAAATGTAGATGATCAGGCAGGAGGAGAACAGAAGGAAATCACTGTGGCTATAATACAAAGAGCTAGGGAAAATACTGTAGGTTGAGAGACTGAATAGATGGATGTAGACCAGACTATGGAGCATTCTATAGGCCATGATAAAGAATTTTATTTATTTTCTTACGAATAGTAGGAGCCATTGAAAGGATTTAAACAGTGGTTGGGGGTCATCTCAGTTGGCTACAGTAAGTGATCTAGATAAGTGATGCTTGCACTGTGGATTTGAAATAGGACTGTCCCAAAGAAATGGAAAAAAGTGGGTAAGAAAAAAATTAATAAGGCTTAACAGTGATCAGGAGATGCTAAGACTTCTGACTTGCATCCATGGACAGTGACAGTATTTACCAATGAATAGCACTGGAAGAGAAGCATGTTTGGGCAAAGAGATTATGAATTTGATTTTGGCAAGTTGAGCTTGAGGCACCTTTGGGACCTCAAAGAAGAGGTAGCACATAGGCAGCTGGATTGATTTGAACAGAAATATGTGTATAATATATCCATCGATATCTGCATATAGGCAGTATGTCTTTCAGATGTTAACTTACTCTCAGAAGTCATCAAACTTAATTCAACCTAAATATTTGTTGGGTGTATTCAGAATAAATTCATGGCCTTTTTGTAAAAACAATTTTCATGGTTTCTAAAGAGAATACAGCCCAATGTGAACATGTTTAACAATATAGAAAAATATAAAGAAAATATAAAGATTACTCAACCATAATCTTCATGTGAAGATATAACCACTATTCCATTCTTTTCTATATAAATATATATATATCCTCAAAACACATCATTTTATATTCTTTTTTTTCATTGTATCCTAAGGCAGTTTTCCATGTTTTAAAAATTCATCATAAATATGAAAACTGCGTAGGGTATAATGTTAAGTGAGTAGAAAATGGCATATAAAATTGTGCCCAATCATGAAATACATAAGAAGTACCGTGCAGTAAATCTAACAAACATAAGACCTGCTGGATCAGAAAAAGAAAGCTTTTGTGTTATGGAGAATACTACATAATTTATTTTATCATTCCTTTATTTGAGTCATTTTTCTTCTGTTTGTTGTTGCTATGAATATCACCATGTGGCTTAATCTTGTCTCTATTTTTTATCGTTTTAGTCTTACTTCCCCAAAGTAGAATAATTAGACCAAAAAGTGTAGTGAATATCAGATCAGTGAATGTTCTTCATATCACCTATGTCATTCAAACTTATTTTAAAATCCAGCAAGTCTCGCATCCAGTAGTTTCAGTGTCTGACTCTTCTTATGTATCTCTTGATCAGGCTCACACAAGTGAGTCATTTTCTAGTTCCCACTTCTGATGGAAATTCCAGACTTTTGAATTAAGTAGGTTTGTGTAATGGTTTCACATTTTAGCTCCTAGCACAAAATCTAGAGGAAAATAAATACCCAATAAATGTAAGTCAAAGTGGAATTAACTTTCAGATGCAAGAGTCTATACAGTCTGCATTTTAATTCATGGAAAATACTGTTTACTGTATAATGTCTGTTAAAGTGGCTATTCAAAATAATGAGGAAATATAGAAACAATTTTCAATGTGCTTTTTTCTTGTTTTCTTCTCAGATCTTTTTGGGTTGGTGGTCTTTCTTGGTATTGAACCTTACTGTGTCAAACACTGGTGGGTTCGACTTCTTTATCGCCCTTACTGCAAGAAGAATCCTCAGCTCCTCTACAGCTTTATTGCCAAGATACTATGGAGGTCTGCAAAGAAAGATGTGATTGACCAAGTCAGTAGGATTAAGTTTTTACTGATTAAGGACATTATAAGAGGACAGAAGCAAGAGTTGGGATGGAAAGTTAAATTTTCAGGTGAAATCATTTTTTTCTTGTCCCTACAGATCCAGATACCCCCTCAGACAGAAGAAATCCACTGGCTTCACTTTTCTCCAGTGGAAAGACATTTCTATCACCGTCAGCATGAAGTGTGCTGCCAGGATGCTGTAGTAAAACTCAGGAAGATTTCTGACTGGGCGCTGAAGCTCAGCAGCCTGGACAGAAGGACTGTTACCTCCATCCTGTATCCATTGCTGAGGCTCAGGCAGGCCTGCTGCCACCCACAGGCCGTTCGTGGGGAATTCTTGCCACTCCAGAAAAGGTTTTATTATCAGTTTCCTTATATTGCAATTGATAATATAGTAGTGATAGTGTTTAAGCTGTTAGCCCACAGTTTCATTCAGGGTGTTAAAACAGAGTTGTCAGTTATTTTTAGTAACGTGGTTTTTCTTTGGTATGGGGCCCCATTTATGAAAAAGAGTCACATTATCAAAATTATTTTCATGGTTTTGGACATTTAAAGTAAGGACTATTTTGGGCTTTCGTTTTGTTCTGGGTTTTTTTGCTACACTTCAGGCTTTTGTTCTTACTATATTTTTTGGTTCCCACATCAGAGAATTAGATGAGTTAGATTACCATTACATATTTTCTTTGTAATTGTGCTAAGTCTGTCTGTTTGATTATTTCATCCTAATATATTAAGGTATTTATGTCCACAGTAGTCTATTATCCCAGAAAGTTTTCATTCATCAGACTGTGACTCAGCAACTTGCCTTTTTCTTTTTTTTTAAACACCTGGTGTTAAAAAGATGAGGTGTTATTAAAAAATATGAAGAGGAATTATATTTTTGTCTTTGCCCTTACACAATTTGTGGACAAATAAAGGAGATGACAGAGATTATAAATTTCTCTAATGTAAGGCAAACAAACATATTTCATAAGAGGTACATATAAATGGCTATAGACAGTTAGAATGTGGAAATAATTTCTATATAAATGATTCATGTTAGCCTTTTGGTAGAAATGGCATTTGATCTGAGCCTTGAAGAATTGTCTTTTTTTTTTTTTTTTTCCCAGATAAAAAGAAATTAAGGCTCATGGAGATTAATTAAATTATAATGCTAGGGATTCAGACAATCTTTTTTTTTTTTTTTAAGATTTTATTTATTTATTTGAGACAGAGAGAATGAGAGAGAGAGCACATGAAAGGGGGGAGGGTCAGAGGGAGAA